ATATTATTCAATGAGTATGTGCTCAATCCTGAGTTACAAAACATTTTCAGTGATTCAATTAAAAAACCCAATGCTCTTACCCACAACCCTTTATTTGCAACACACAATATTTTACTCCCTCCTCCTTTCCAGGTCTTCCTATGGCGCGTCCAGTGCAAAATGGCTCATCTCGATCAGCAATACAAGCTACGAAATACACGAACGAGAACAAACGTGCAAAAAGACAATTCTTTCCCCGCCTCACCGCTTCTGTCTGCCGGAGTCCATCCAAAGTTTGGGAGGATTTGTTTACGGCAGTGGTCCTGAAACCTTCCACGCATTTCTTTATAAGTTCGAGAACAATGATATTGAAACCATAGTGACCCTCAAGGAAGACGACTGCTTCCCGATCAGTTTGGTCCAGACTTTTGGTCATGGTCGTAATACTCCTGGGACGTCTACCACTGTGTTCACTGACCTCTCGACGGAGTTAGACGAAAGGGCACTCCTATTGCCTGCATATTGTCTTGATGAAGACCACATACCCACTAACTAGTTCGTCTCGCTGTTTCTCTTCATGAAGAATCTCAAGAATGATTTTGACTTTGAAACCACAAATGTATCATGGTTGTTTGCTGGTAAACTAAACAAACACAGGGGGGAAATATCTGAATGCTATTCTATTCTTTTGCTTTTCAGATATAAAATTATACCTTTACCTGTTACTTTAAAAGTTATAATGCAAAATCGACTGATGTCAACTTTACATTTAAGGAATCACAGCCGGCGGGTTCTCGGGATACTTGAAATGACATGAAGGCCTAATACATCTCATTCACAGTTGAGATATAGAAGTACAAAAAGGTAAAAGTTGACTAGGGTAGTTTAGCATGAAAAAGATTGAAAAGAAAAGACAAGGATAATGATAATATAGAACTTTTCGAGCATACCAAGGGGAAAATAAATGGCAACCCATGATTGTCGATGTCTGTTTTAGATCTGGCACGTACAGAAGAAACTCTTATGAACGTTCAGGGTTCGAACCAAAACACTGTAAGAACATGTCTAGCCTTGTCAAAACAAATCATTAGTCTTTGAAAAGACAGAAGCTTTTTCTTTCCTATAATTAGATAACTGTAAAGTATTCAAAAACCATCCGCTGCTTTGGTCTTTTTAAAAAGAAAAATCTATTATACTCATTGTCTTAACATTCTGTTGCGTCAAATATTTGATATAGTGACTAAGTTGACCTCAATGGTGTAGTTATTTACCCACCGGATTAACCTCGCTGAAAGCTTTGGTTCCAATCAGATTTGGGAACATTTCAAACTAGCTCATCATCATTGCCTTTCTCACCCTGGGTCAGGATATAGGCCACGAACAAACACTCTCCATCTTTTCCTATCCTGGGCTAGTCGCTTGATTTCACTCCACGTCTTCCCACTTTTCTGTACATCCAGTTCCTTGATCTTTTACCCTGTGGGTTCAAATCTAACACTTTTCTTGTTATGCAGCTGCTTGACTTTTTGAGAGTGTGTCCAATCCATCGCCAACGTCTTCTTCCCACCTCATCTCTGACTGGGCTCTATCTGGTTCTTCTTAATATTTCCTCGTTGGTGATCCTGTCTGTCCATTTGATCCTCAGCAGCCTCCTCAGACATTTGTTCAAGAAAACCTGGATCCTCTTTATGCACATATGGGATGCGTTCCACGTCTCACATCCATACAACAAGACTGACTTCACATTTGAGTTGAAAATTCTAAGCTTTGTTCGT